CGAAGATCCCCGGAAGGAATATTTTGAAGCAATCCGTATTGTCTTTTTACCCTGCAGGGATAATAATAAGACATACGAGACAAACTTGGAAGACGGCGGAAAGGTTGCTTGTTGACACCAACCATCCTTTCTATTTTCCACCATGGGACGACCCACTTGATAGCAAAATTGCGAGATTCGAAGACCCTTCTCCACTCGTGGCGCCCCATTTTAGAGAAGTGTTTCTTCCTCCTCATGAAGCATTTTGTAGTGTACTTCTCAATGTTGTCCGGAGGGCTAATTAATTCTAGCCTTTCCATTAGCCACATCTGCAAAAAAAATTGCAATGCAATTAAATTATTATTACAATACAAAAATATATTTTTTGATTTCTGTAATTAAAAATATTATATTTCTACCTATAATAAAATTGGAGAGCCGCGAAAAGGTGCTTTTGGGTTCCTTTTCAATTCATCAAGACTAATCATAGTCTCTCCAGCTATCAATGGCATTGGATTTCTCCCTGATTCAATTTGTTCTAGTACAGTGGTTATAATTGATTGACCTTCATTATTATTACCACTACTAAAAAAAAAATGATTAAGCATGCAAAATAAGAAAGCCCTTCTTCTATAAATATGAAAAGATTCAGAAAGAGGTTTATACAAATAATAGCGTGCAAATTCTTTCAAATTAACTATGTTTCCATCTACTATTTTTGATAAATCCCTTTATGTTAGTGAAGAAGCGCTCAAAATCCTTGTAATAATATGCATCTACTCTAGGGATTACTATGAGGTCTATTGAAGGAAAACCTAAAAAAGCACCAAATTCTCCTGGCAAAGGGCTAATCTCATCATACCCCATTCTAAAGCAATGAGTATCAACATTCCAATATTCTAGAGCGGTATGAATGAAATCTAAGTCAAGATCTACCCCTTTAATGCCATAAATTCCCCCCTAAGTGAAACAAATCTAATTCTTTTCTTTCTCTGGAATTAAGAGATCGACACCATTCATGGGTGTATTGGGTGAAAGTTTTGGTGACTAGAGACATGATATTATTTTTCTAAGGCCAAGAATTATTTTATTTGCTGAAATTATGAAAAGAATCGGCTGGGCAGGGGGCTATTTATGCACGATTTACGAGCAGTTTTAATCGGGGTAAAATACGGAGACAGCGCTAATTGGCGTCAGACTCCGCGATTGGTGCCAGACGCCAAGGCTTAGCGCCACACACCAATTGTAGCTCCTTGCGCTACACCCAATTGTGTGGCGCCAGCTGGCGCCAATCTGCCACGTCATCCGCGCTTTCTAAAACCGCGTTTTTACTTTAATCCGAGTCTGCTAATGACTTTACGGCTTCTTTATCTTTTTTCTAAAACATCTTTTTATTCATTTTTTTTAATTAATATAACTATTATATTAATTATATTATTCTTTTTGGATTTTATTTAGGTTAATTTCCAAGTTTTTATAAACCCAACATTTTATTTGGCCTTTTCCTTTTTTCATTTTTCTTTTGGGGGAGAGAGTCAGATACCCTCCATCAATAATAAAAATGACGGAATTTTTACGCAAAATTGTTTGTCACACTTTTCTTGCACACACAAACATGCACATAAAAAATAATAATGGCAAACATAAATAAACTCATAATAGTATGTATATACAAAATATGTCTAAAAAATGAGTTTAACTAAAAGGAAAAGTTCTATAGAAAGTCAAATAAATAATAAAAAGCAAAGGTACAAACCACCTCGCGCAAACTGTCAAAGAAATAAGTCAGCAAACATGCATAATATATGTGGACAAAAGTGGCAAATAAATAATCTTACTCGAGTCTGGTGGCGAGGAATCGACCGCTTTACGAAGCGCGACCGGAGGAATCATCTCCTCAATTGACCCATATGTCCCCTGGTAATGGATAGACATACGGGGTGGCACGAACTCAACAGCATCGTCCGGACAAAGCAAAACCAAGTTAGTGAAGCATTACTTGGGGGCTACTTAACGAAAGATAAGAGCTAAAAATCGTACCGCCACATCCTCAGCCGGTATAGGAACTGGAGCCAACAACGGCAATAGCTCCTCTACATAGCATCGCCCAGGGATCATGCAAGATTGCCAAGGGGGGACCAGCTCCCTCTAAAATTCTCAACAACCTCGCGGCGCCAGAACACTCAGCTTCTCACTAGGTTGTTCTACCTCCTTGCAACATATTTTGGGTTCCTTGGTACGCCAGTTAGCCCCTCTAAAAAATTTGACATGGTTTTTAGTAATCGGCTTGATTACATAAAGTGATCGACCTAATGAAAGATCGTCTCACTTAGCTTAAAGCGCCTAAGAATTGGCTCATCGCAAAAGGCACCGATATAATGGTTCATTTGGAAAAGGCACCGGCATAGAGGTTCAAAGTAACAAAAGCGCCGACGTACATCATAGCGAGAGAAAATTTCAAGCGAGCTTTTTAAGGATCGACAAGTGGAGATCTTCGGTAATTTCTTTGGAAAATTATCGCAACACATGAGGATAGCTTCAAGAGAGGATATCTTTGCCAGCATTCCTGGCTTGCGGAGAGTTTTCATAAACAACTGAAGGTAATTTCAAGCGATGTTGTCTTCGACCATGTTCCCTTAGACGTGGAAGATGGTCATAAAGCGGATGGAGATTGTTTCAAGAGAAATAATCTTCGATGGTATTCCCTTGGACGTGGAATATTATCAATGCGGATGAGGATTGCTTCAAGCGAAGCAATCTTCGATGGTATTCCCTTGGACGTGGAATATTATCAATGCGGATGAGGACTGCTTCAACCGAAGCAATCTTCGATAGTATTCCCTTGGACGTGGAATATTATCAATGCGGAAGAGGATTGTTTCAATTGAAGCAATCTTCGATAGTATTCCCTTGGACGTGGAATATTATCATACCGAAAGAGGATATTTTCAAGATAAGCAATATTCTAAATTGGGAACAATTACAGGTGTAGCAGTTTTCAAGCGAGAGATGGAATTCTCTAGCTTACAGGAGGTCATCAAAACAATCGGTTACTTTTAGAGACGTGTGCTCGACGGTGCAAGATACGTGTTTCTTAACTCTTTTATCTGTTTAACTAAGGCTAGTTTTGCAGGTATCGGCGTTACAAGAATGATTTAGGATCGTAGAACGTTCTGAGTCATTCTCCGTCCCTATCGATACTTTGACTTTTGTTTTCGAAACTCGCGTTTCTCCAAACTCAGTCAAAGTGGGGGCTTCTGTAGACACCCAAATGTGTCTCCCCAAAACCAAACCCAGTGATGAGTACCTTTCACGTCAAATCATAATCGAATGAAGCGAAAGTGTGGAAAGTTAGTGTTGCGGATAGTTTTAATTTATTTTCTCTTCTCTCTGGTTTTGAAAACTTATTTTAAAAAAACAGCCAATCCAGTTTGTTTGGTCCATGATATGGGTCAAATAGTAGTGTATTTGGATGGGGCTTGACAAAACCTTTCCAACGATATATTATAAGCCCAATTCCGATGAATATTGAGGAAGTTATGGCCAATTTACTGAACTGGGCCCGATTTGACCTTATATGCGGCCCGATGATCTAAGGGAGGGCCTAATATAGATTTATCATTCCTAATGCAATTAAAATCAAAGAGCATTTTTGAGGAAAAATACGATTTTATACTCTTGTACGGTAATTTTTATCTGATATTAGAAAACGCGTGAATTTCTGAAATCAGCGCCAAACGCCAGCTGTAGCGCCTGGCGCCTGGCGCTACACTTGGCGCCTGGCGCCAGCGTTAGCGTTGGCGTTGGTTTGTTTTTTTGTGCGCCAATGCTCTGTTTGGTTTATTTTATCTTTTTGGCTGATTTTTTCTATAAATAACGTCGTAAAAACTTCGTTTTCATTCACCATCTCTTTCTGTCTTTTTTTCTAAACTAGCTTTTACATACAAAATTCCGCATTCACACGATCTAGAAACACCTAGCCATATTCGAAGTTCCCTTCGCCCTAGACGTGAAAGGTTTAATTTCTGAGGGTTTTGTGTCAAATCTCTCTTTCCATTATTTAATTTAATTGTTTTGTTTATTATTTTCCTTGAAGTTACTAACGTGTGTATTTTGTTATTAGAAAGAGGTACGAGGCATCAAAGTAAGTACTTTAATGGTTTTTATTGATATTATGATGTAGAAATCATGTTTAAGTTGTTATTATGATATTCCTAATATCATGTCTAGGGTAAATTTAATATTAAATATGATTGTTACGATGCTTCCTATGTTCTTCCTAATATCTATGATTGTTAGTATCATGTTAAGGTTAAAGATTTGATTTTTATTGCGTAGTGACATGCTAGGGTTTGTTATTAATCTTGTTAGTATCATGCCTAGGATCTTGCTATTATTATGCTTTAGCGTTGATATGATTATTTTAATCATGATTATTATTATTATTAATTATGATTGTTATTATGATGATTATTTTTAATTATAATTATTATTTTTATTATTATGTTGCTTGATATTTATTGTTATTTCTTGATCACGCCTTTTATGCATGTTTAAAGGGAATTTTGTACTTGTAATCACTCTTAATAAGATATTTAATAATCTTGTTTAGGGTTAATATGATTATAATTCAAGTGATCGCCAATAATAGTTTTATTTGTGCATTAATATTCAATCAACATAGATTAAACAGGTTTAGGGTTAATCCTATTGATTGTATGTTAGTCAGAAAGCGCAAATGAATACGATCAGAATAAAGTAGAGGCCTATTATTAGTGCAGGTTCAATCTCTTTTAGGTTGGATTTGTACCTTCATCCCCGAACCCTTATTTAGTTCTAGACCTTATGGAGTTGACAATCTCTTGGATCGTTAAGGGATGTAACCTTCACCCTGTGAACGGTTTACAAGTTCCTAAAACTTGTTGGCGACTCTTTTACTCTATCTTCTTCCCTTTTGGACGCCACCGTACTTTAGTGTATGATCATAGTGGGGTTCAAGCTAGGGGGTTAACGCTTGAAATTTATTCCCCACAATTCTCATCCACTTCCTCGATGCTTCCATTTAGAAAATCCTCATACATTGCCATTTCCTTGATAGGAGCACCTATCTTATCCTTATTCAATAAGAAATTCTCAAGAGGATCATTAGAAGTGAGCAAGTGCTCATGCGTGGAAGACACAACAAGATCAAAAGAATTAATCAACATGCAATAATCTAAAAAAGAACATGGATACTTCATGCTTTCATTCAAGTCAAATTCAATGACCTCTTCTCCTACCTTGAGTGAAATTTTTACACTCTTAATATCAATCATGGCACCCGAGGTAGCAAGAAAAGTTCTACCAAGAATAACAGGAATGGTAGCATCTTCATCCATTTCAAGAACCACAAAATCCACCAGAATTACTAACTTTCCTACTCTCAAAGGAACATCCTTCACCTTACGCTTAGGAATCTTAATTGACCTATCAGCCAATTGCAAGGTAATTTTGGAAGGCATAAGTTCCCCTAACTCAAGTCTTTGATAAAACGAATATGGAATTAGGCTAACACTAGCTCCTAAGTCACATTAGGCATTATCAATTTGCATCTTGTTAATGGCACAAGGGATAGAGAAGTTTATGGGATCTTTCAACTTGGGTGGCATCTTGTTCATTATAATTGCACTACAATTCTCAGACAAGTTGACCGTCTCCACAACATCACAAGTCCTCCTACCACTCAAAATTTCTTTGAGGAATTTTGCATAGTTGGGCATTTGGGTAACAACTTAGATAAATGGTAGACAAAGATGAAGTTGCTTAAGCATGTCAATAAATCTTCCAAATTGTTCATCAAAATTATGTCTCATGAATTTTTCTGGATATGGAAGCTTGGGTTTCACAATTTCTTTCTCCACTCTCACCTCTCTAGGTGTCTCAATCACAACCTCACTCAAAGATGCACCATCTCTCTCATCCTCTACCAAGACCTCCTTGGGGACCTCCTTAGTTTCACTCTTCCTAGGTGAACTCTCCTCAAGAACCTTACCACTCATTGTAACAATAGCATTCATGGGTCTCTTGGGATCTAAGCCTTGGGAAGGTAAAGAAGAAGTACTAGCATGGTATTTCAAAGCTTGGAAAGTTGAGAAATTTGGTTTTCAAGCATCTTATTTATGAGTCATCATCTCATTGAATTTCTTGTCACTTACGGCCATGTAAGTGTTCAACAACTTTGTTTGATTTTTAATGATTTCCTCCAAATTAGTCTTAGAAGAAGAGGATTGTGAATAAGAATTATCACCTTGAGTCTTTGGAGCTAATCCGGGTGGAGGGCCTCTTTGAGCATTATTTTGAAAATTGTCTCTACCTTGATTGTTCCAATTAACCCTATTTTGATTTTGACCATAACCTTGATTATGGTTACCACTACCTTGATTATGATTTCCATAACCTTGGTTTTGATTACCATGATTTTGGTTTTAATTTTGGCTACTATAACCTTGATTGTTATAATTACCTCGAGAACCTTGATTCCTATAACCACCACTTTGGTTATAGTTGTCAAAATTACCTTGGTTTTGGTAATTCCTATTCCATTGACCTCTTTGGTTATAAAACCTTTGCACATTATTATTGTTTGACTCATAGTTTACATGTTCACTCTCATTGTTATCAAAATCATCATTACCATCCGGAAAACCATGAGGGCAATTACTAGCATCATGATCATATGAATCACACACATAAAAAAAACAAACCACTAGACATGTTAATAGAGGAAGGAGAGGGTGAGAGTTATAAGGAGTACCTCTCCCCTTAAATTGGGAGGGAAGACTTGGAGCTTGGGAAAAAGAACTCTCCAATTTTTCCTTGATTGCAATCACTTCCTTTGCCAAGTTTGTCATTTATGAGGAGAGATTGTTGATTGCATTTAGATGATCAACCAAGTACACCGAAGAGCTACTCTTGCTAGTTGAATCTCTCTCACCATCTTTCCAATCTCTATAGCACCTCACAACATCCTCAATGATCTCTACCACTTCTTCTTCCGTCCTATTCATGATGGGTACTCTGGCTCCCCCATCAAGGCATGACCTGCCTTGGGGACTTAGGCCTCCATAGAAAATTTGAATAATTTGATAGGTTGGAATTCCGTGGTGAGAACATTTCCTTTGATACTCCTTATATCTCTCCCACGCTTCATAGAGGCTCTCACTTGGCTTTTGTTTGAAACCTTGAATCAAAGCTCTTGCCTCCGCCGTTTTCTTTTGTGGATATAAATGGGTTAGAAATTCTTTTGTAACCTTGCCCCATGTTATTTGAGAATTCGGCTTAACCTCCTTGTCTAGCCATTCCAAAGCACGCCCAATGATATAAAAGGGAAAGAGCTTGAGGCGGATGAATTCTTGGGAAACTCCGTTCACTTTGATAGTATTGCAATATTATTTGAACTCCTTGAGATGATTTAGTGGGCTCTCATGCTTGGCTCCACTAAATTGTTTCCTCTCTAGCAAAGTGATCATAGCCGGCTTAATTTCAAAATCATTTGCCGGTGTTGTAGGTGGAGCAATTCCACTCTCTAATCTATATGCACCGGGAATCCCCAATTCTTTCAATGCCACTCTCGGCTTCTCTCCCATTCTTGCTTGCTCTTCTAGTAGTGGATCTTCCTCACTTGAAATGCTAGAACTCAAAGATCGCCTAGCAACCCTTAATCTTGCAATAGTCCTCTCAATCTCTGGATCAAATGACACTAGTGAATGACTACGTGCTCTATGCATACAACTTCAAAAGAAATGATTAGTAGCACAGCTACAAGTGTAGCCTATAAGAGAAAAATCTTTTTGTTTTTTTTTAGAATAAAATAGACTCAACAACTATAACAAAGCACCGATGTCACTCCCCGGCAACGACACCATTTTGACAAGGGGAAAACTAGGTCGTTGTCTAATCCTCCCTTGGTCATGCTAAATTTATAAACATTTAACAAACCTTATACAAGTATACGGTAAGTCAAGGGTTGAACCCAATATTCTATAGTCTATTGTTAAGCTAAATCAAAGAACATCAATGGTTGAGGTTGGTAACTAGAATATCAAGAAGATAGGAAAATCAAAGAATTCAATCAATATGCTAAACACTAGGGATATAGGTTCCACATGCAAGCTCAATGATTATGCTAATTGATAGATCACTCAATTGATTCAAACATTACAAGGGACAAACAATAGTTTCAATCAAAGGAATTCAAAGGATATCTCCTATAAGCCAAGCTAGGGTTCACTATAAATGGCTAACAAGGATAATCAACAATCAAATTCAATCAATTAAACCAATTCTCAAATCAAGGGTTCATGTCATTGAAATTTGCAATGCAATCTAGATTAATCTTATAGGTTGATCACTCCTAGTCTAATTAATCACATGCACAACTATGTCAACCAATTTAATTGTAACAATTCAATCAATCAATGATCATCAACTAGCAAAAATCATCAATCAAGCATGCTTCCCCTTCTCCCTAGTATCTAATCTACTCACTAATCATGGTGAACTTGAAGACAAAACAAATTAAATCACAAACGTATTCATTTCAAGCTAAATCAAAAGGAAAATCAATCAATCAACAAATTCTCAAACCTATCAAAATTCAAATCAAACATTCAAGGATTAAAGAAAATTGCAATTGAAGTAAATTCAAAGGAAAGAAATCTCACATACTTTCATTGATATGAAGAAGAAATCCAAACTTGATTGAAGCAATGTTGTAATACAAATCAAAATCCAAGAATTTCAATCTCTAACTTCTCTCTAGTTTCTCTCTTTAAAAACAAAGAAAATGAAAGATTATCTAAAAGTTAGCCTTTAAAAGGAATTACAAGAGTATTTACAGACAATGAAGAAAAACTTATTGGTCGGGCCCTCTCCAAGAATATCCCGCGGGCGCGGAGAAATGGGTACGAAACCCATAACTAACTTCGCTGGCAATCTAAGCAAGACCCGCGCCCGCGTGCACTGCAGCCCGCCCCCGCGGAGAAGACCCCTACGCCCGCGGCTAAGGGAGCGACAGATGCCCTGTTCCCAAGTGTAAATAGGGGGTCGTGGTCTCTCTAAAGGGAGTGGTCTCTCCATAATCTCCACGCCCGCGGCTAGACCGCGGCTAGGGTGCGGAGAGTTCCTGCTAAAAATCATCAATTTGCTGCACTTTATCCGCGCCCGCGGCCCTCAGGACCCGCACCTGTGGCAATTGGCAAATGTAGAGCGCCCTCTCCGTGCCCTCTCCAAGGAGCTTAATTCTTCTTTGCTTAGCCTTTTTTGCTCTTCTTGAACCCTTTGTGAAGCCAACTCCTTAAGCACCTATAAAAGTAACCAAAGAGAGAAAATATAAGAAAAAAAGAGCAATGTAAAAGGGAATCACGAAGAAAACCACATAAGGGAAAGTAAAACACGAAGAAAGAAGAAATAGAGAAACTAAAGGAGAAAAGACTAAAATGATAAAAGAAAACTATGAAAAAGGGTGAAAACATCCTAAAAGACTACCCTATGAGTGCCATAAATGACACTCATCAGTCACTATTTATCCAAGAATTAAATTGGAGTGTTTAATTGTTAGGATAATTATAATGATGCCATTATGATTTGAGAGTCATCACCAAGTTTAATAATATGTAAAGAACGTAAAGTGAAAGAAATTACGCACCAAAACTCTTTGAACGTATATACCTTGAGTATGAACATATGAGGGGAGTTATGGGGTTTTATACTTAACCATAACTTCTATTGGGAGTACAGGACGCTGTATTTTCATTTTATTATTATTCGCACGAATTCCACCACTTACGAGTGGTTCTTTTATACTGGCACGGTTAGCTCCCATGTTATTACCCCTTTATCGGGGCAAGTTAGGGGGGAAACCAGTTCAATGCAGAATCAAAACTAAATAAATTATTTAGTTACTTAGTTGAGAAGTTTTGTTGTATGTTGTGTGCTTGAAAACAGGTGCAACAAGGTAAGTTGTGTGTTAATAGGTAAAATAATGTTAGTGTGTTTAAATACGCTTATGTACTCAGCTTTGCTGATTGTGTGTGTTGTGTGTTTGTTGGCCTTGTCTTTACCTTGACCCTATGATGACCGAATTTTAACGAATAGTAGTGGAAACAAGTATAGAGAAGCTTTTCAGGTGATGAATCATATTCGTGATGGGCATGAGTGAAGAGCGAATCATGCTAGTTTCCATAAGTTTATGATGTTTAATTGCTTTAATAATATATTATGATATTTCTATTACGAGACTAACATAAAAGTTATAAAATTGAATTGGTTTTATTAAGGGCCTACAATGGTTCCAAGTTGTAGGTTTGACTTTATTATACTTTAGTTTGACTTTACTTTGGTTAATTGTCTTTTTAGGTTGAGTCGTTTTAAATATTTTAAAGGAGATTCTTGCACTGTGTTTTTTTATGGTTACCTTAGCCGTTTTTCATGGTGGCGGTGATATCTTAGATTTTCCTATTTA